TTAACTGTTAAAACTTGTCTACTTTGATCCTCCAGCAATCTGTTAATTACAGGTTAAATTTTTCTACTCTGGTAGTGGTTTCCATGGATTTTACTGCTCCTGGGCTCCTGCTCTGGTATATTGCCATTCTCTTTATATATCTGTCTGTTTCTCTAGTTTTTGGAACAGCAGTTTGCTCTATGTCCCCAATTCTCTGGTAGATCCAAAAAGAGTTTTTGAGTTTTAATTAGTTCAACTTTTTCCATGTTGTGTAATCAGGAGAGATGACTTCCAAGTGCCTTACATGCTTGAGTGGAACCTGGAAGTTTCTCCATTGTGTTTTTATTAAGTAGCTCTTAATTTTTAAGACTTACAGCCTGTGGAATAGAGTTAACACTTAAGGATGACAATTCCGGGGGTACTTGGGTGGCTCAGTCAGTTAAGAGTCTGACTCTTGATTTTGGCTTAGGTCATGATCTCACAGTTTATGAGTTCAAGCCCTGCATCAGGCTCTGTGCTGACAGCATGGAACCTGTTTGGAATTCTCTCTCCCCCTCTGCTCCTTGCAGAGCACATGTGCATTCTCTCTCTCTCTCTCTCTCTCTCAAAATAAATAAATAAACTTAAAAAAATAACAATTCCTATAGCTTATTTAAGTCTTACTTAGGTATCCAGTCAAATTTCTAGGAAGTTGTGTGCATGCCGCACACACACACACACATACTCACACAGTTTTTTAGCTGGTTGCAGAAAAAACTTTCATAAGAGTGCAATCTAATATTATAACTTATATTTTATTGATGATAGTGTAAAACATTGCCTGTAACTTTTTTGATAAGATACTGCCTTAGCTTTGTCACAAATAGTTATAAAATAAATCATGTAATAAATTCTCCTTCTAGTATTACATTAGATAACTCTGCTAACAGCCTAGTATATTGTATTTGATTAGATGATGATTGTTCTTTAACGTTATATCCCTGTCCCCACCCTTTTTTTTTTCTTTTACCTTATAGGAAGCTCAGAAATAAGTTTTGGTTCTCAGTTACAGTTAGATCTCTTACCTTTTCCTTTTTCTCACTTTACCGTTGTTTTAGTTGTTATGGCTTCATAACTTGTGTTTTTTATTAAAACTTTCATGCCTACTTGAAAGTAGGTCATATAAATAATACATTAACTATGCTAAAGTATTGCTCGATAGAATTTTAGGTCTTATGCTGCTGCCCCTCCTTTCCCCTTTTTTCTGCGTCATACTCTTTATCATCCTCATCTTACTCCATAGACTTCTCTTGACCGTGATGTGAATTATTCATTTCATGTCTTATCCATAATAAATTATTTGTTCCAGACATATTTTCTCTTGTCACCCTTTATGGTTTATGGTTCCTCAGCGTTCTATTTGCTAGTTTAATATTAACTCAAGCCATACCATTCAAAATGTACTCTATCCAGAGAAGTTTGTTGAAAAGTTTCATTAAGCTAAATTTTAAAATGAACTGTAGCTGTATATACCTGTGATTTCATTATTTAAAGTAGATCTCGAAGAGCATATTTTATTAGGAAAATATTTTGCGTTATACAAAATTTCATAGTTCTTGAAAGGTTTGATTTATCGGGTTGTCTTTTATTGGGAGTGCATCTTTGTCTTAATTATTACTTTCATGATTATTTAACATAATATCAGATTTATCAAACTATAAGAATATTGATAGTTTGGGTTAACTAATTTCTCACTGCATTATACTTCTTTATTTAAAAATTAAGTCTATATTTGTCCTTGTTGATTGTTAAATTCACTCAAATGCCAGAATTCAAATTATTAAATAATTGTTATGAAAGGGCTTGCTGGTGGTGTTTGTCAGTTCCTGTTAAGGTTAGCTGACATGAATGGACAAGCCCTTCTAAAACTTAAATCATTTGCTTCAGTGTTCTTTCCTTCCTAAAGTCTAAATAATTTCCAGAATAGATGAAGATGCTCAAGTTTTGTCAGTTCTCTTTTCAAAGGAGAGGTCTCTAGATAGCCTGTAAACAGTCTTAGTGTTCACATGATTGAATTTTTCATTCTATGTCAATGTCATTCATAAACATTTACTAATCTGTTTTGGAAAACATTATGAGTACATAGATAGTGTGTAATGTGTCAAATTAATAATATGGGCAAGACAGAAATCTAGAAAAGGCAGAAATTACTGTAACATTTGGAGAAGCCTTCATGGAGAGAGGTGGAAATTGAATCTTGAAGGAGGTAACATTTAGATGAGAATAGAAAAATGGGCTATGAGCTGTGGATGGGCCACATTTATGCATCTATTTTTAAGCTGTTTGATTGATGTCAGGCACACCTTGATATGCCCTAACAATTCAAATGGGAAACAAAAATTAAAACTATGTTGAGGAGCCGTGTATACCTACTGGATTTGTAAAACATACCACGCCTGAGAGTCAAGTGTTGGTGTAGCTGTGGAACTGAGAGAACACTTGAAGTGCTTGTAGCCTATGACTTAGCACTTTTACCCCCAAATATATTCTTAAGCAATGTTTTTCAAACATTTATTAATATGACCCCTACACTGAAAAAAATACATTTTCCCTAATGACCCCAGTGCACCCACAATGAAATAAAAATTTCATATAATAATAGTTCTTACTATGTGTAATAAAGGTAAAATATAATAAAGTATGTATCAAATATGAATTTCATAATATTTAAATAAAACAAATCAAAAACAAAATTTAAGAGCAATTTAATGTGTCTGCTTCTTTCATAATTCTATTCCTTTGGCATAGTTTTTTTGCTAAGAATTTATGCTTACATTTTTGATATTTTCTATTGTATTCTATTCCAGTTTTTAAAAATGCTGATTGTGATGACTAAATTGATTTAATGACCCATTACTCGATTGCAGTCTGTAGTTTGAAAAATATTGCTTGGAAGAAATTCTTGCTCATCTGTATCAGGAGACATGTTTAAGAGTGTTTATAGCAGCATTGTTTGTATACCCCTTTTCCCAAAATGGGAAGCAGCTGAAATATACACTGACAAGAGATAGATAAATATATTATAGTATATTTATATAATAGAATAATACTATACACCACGGTAATTGAATTGCAGCTACACCTATCAATATGGATGAATTTGGGAACATATGTTGAGCAAAAAATAGCAAATCACAGAATATGTGTAGTATGATTTAATTTGTATAAAGTTCAAAAGTAAGGTAAACTGTATAATATATCAAATAGGGATATTTATGTCTCCAAACTATAAAGAAAGGCCAGACAAGGATAAAAACCAAAATTGTAAGACAGTGCTTTGCCCTGAAGGCTATAGAAATGTCAGAGGATCGGGGGACCTACAGAGGACTTCAAAGGCAATGGTATGGTAGAGTTGTGTGTCTTAATTGAGTGGTTGTGGATACAAGGCTGCTGTTTTTACTCTGCTCTTAATACCTTTATATATATTTATCACAGATTATTTTTGTATGTATCCAGTATTTAAAATATTTTTAATTTGAAGTAAAGTAAAATCAACACTTAACATTACAGCTTAAAAAATAGGAATATAGTAGATACCCTCACTTCATTCCTAAGACTTACCCCATTTTTCATCCTATCCCTGAACCTCACCCGAAGTTTCAGTTCATCCTCATGTCATTTGGAGCATATTTAATAAGGAGCTAATATGGGAGTACAAAATAAATTGGTAATTAAGGATCAGATGAGCATCAGTGATAGATAAGAGATGGAATGAAGGTCAGGGGTTTCTAGTGAGCATACCAGTTAATAACAGAACAGCATGTTGTATCTTGATGTGCCTTCTTGGTTGATAGGCAGATGGGGCTTTGGGAAAAGGTACTGTTAAGAATGACCTGGAGGTTTTCAAAAAGTGTGTAAGCATGTAATGGATGCTTAATAAATGTTAGCTGAAAAAAATGAACAAAAGTTGGCTTGACGAAGGTTGAAGAAGTATAGAAAGAGATAGTATAAGGATATGGATTTCAGTTTTACCATGTTAGTTTAAGGTTCCAGCAGATAATCCAAGTGGAGGCATTATATAAAAAGTTGCAAATGTGGCATTAGTGATTGGGAGAGAGTCAAAGCTGCATTGTAGATTAGTTATTCTCTCAGACAGAGATGAGACAAAAAGCCAAGAGTGGGTAAATTTTCTGAGAGGAAGACTGTAGAAGTAAGAGGGAAATTAAGAATTGAGTCATGGACACATCCTGTGATTACGTGTTATTTAGGTATCTCTGGCAGGTAAAAAGGACATTCAATTAAAAATTATGGCAGTTTGGGGCGCCTGGGTGGCGCAGTCGGTTAAGCGTCCGACTTCAACCAGGTCATGATCTCGCGGTCCGTGAGTTCGAGCCCCGTGTCAGGCTCTGGGCTGATGGCTCAGAGCCTGGAGCCTGTTTCCGATTCTGTGTCTCCCTCTCTCTCTGCCCCTCCCCCGTTCATGCTCTGTCTCTCTCTGTCCCAAAAATAAATAAACGTTGAAAAAAAAAAATTATGGCAGTTCGAATATTCTGAATTATTTTCCTACACAGCAAGATATCTTTGGTACGAAAACAGACTTGCCATTTTTCAGTCTTGAAGATTATTTATGCCTTCACAAATCTGTAATTGTTTCTTTAAAAAATGTTTTCTTCGAAATCATACTCAAATAAGAGGGTAATTCTTATCTTAGTTACATACACTTTTTCTTTGATTGGAATGTTTTATAAAATTTTGTTTTCCTTCTGTTTTGCATCTAAATCCCAAAAATTTACTTTCTGACTGTGGCTTAACATTTGGTATCCAGTTTGTATGTGTCCTTCATCTTAAACTAATAAACAGATACCACTGTTTACTTGAATATTGATGGGCATGTCACCAGAAATAAGAATTGTGAAAGTAGACATTATTATGAAAGCTAGTTAATCCTAATATTATCAGTCAAAATCTAAAACTTTGTAAATAAAATAATTTTTTCTTAGAAGTAGCAACTCACCAATAATTGTGATTTTTTTTTTCCATAGAGAGAAACAGGACTAAAAAAGGAAATAAATGACCTTGTAAAACGGAAGATTGCAGTTGATGAAGAAAACATTTTCTTAAGGAAAGAATTCAGTGACTTGCAGAAGAAATTTAAAGATAAAAGTCAGGAAGCTAAGGTGTGTTGGCTTCTACATAGTTTTACAGTACTCTTACTTTGAAGTCCTACTCTAAGCTTTGTCAGCCTTTGTGGCACAGAAAGTGACAAGCTTGGAGGAAAAATTGCCTTAGGCCCTGCTGTACCATACAGTTTTCTCAGATGCAAAAACTGAGAAAGATGCTTTAAAGATAAGACTCCAAGCTTTGTAACTTTCAGATAAATAGTTAATGATGGAAATGGAGCTAAGAAAGTAGGAGTGTGAATATGTGGCTTCTTGTAATTAGATTCTGATGGGACTGGCATTATTAATTGATAAAACCCAGGTCTGGGAGGATATGTCTGTGTGGGTCTCAAAAATAGCTGGGGACAGCATCAAAGGCAGCTTGATCAATTAATGGGCTCTTTGCAAATGTGTACTCATCAAAGCTGTCATCCAGTGAAAAAATATGACCCATCCACCTGCATGAAAAGAGGCCAATAAAAGTATACAGGTGACCTTGGCCATCAAATATAGAAGAAGCTGCTGTGAGGGTAAAACTGCACAGTTTATATTTGCTGATTAGTTCTCACCTTTTTTTGTTGTTGTTTGTTTTGTTTTGTTTATCGGCCCTTGTGGTACTGTTCTACAGGACACTAAGGAGTGTGTACAGAATAAGGAAGAGCAAAACAGACTGGTTATAAAAACTCTGGAGGAGGAAAATGAGAAATTAAGTACCCGCTGCGCTGACCTGCTAAATGACCTGGAGAAACTGAGGAAGCAAGAAGCACATTGGAGAAAAGAAAAATATAGCATTGATGCAAAAATAAAGGTAGGCAACGAGAATGGAGGGAATAAGAATAATGCCGTTATTTTGGATCTAACTTCTTATAGGAAGTTTATTACATGTGATTTTCTTTAAATAACAAGTTATATATTCAAATCCACCAGTGGGGACCAGCATTAATTTATATTCCTTCACTTAAGACCCACAGCTTTTTAAAAATTGATGTTGCAAAGCAGGAAACTGACTTCAAATAGTTATCTAAAATGTAATCATTAAAAAATAAAGGCTATAGCATTTTGAAATAAAACATGTTTTGGAAAAACATATTTAGAATCATGAGGTTTGACATTTTTCAGCTAGAGCTTAAATTTATAAATATAGCTAGAATTCATTACAATAGAGTTTTAAGAATGTATTTTCCAGGTCTTTTAAAAAATAAAATGTGAAAAAAGCATAAAACAGTTGAAAAATACTCATGTGTGTTTTAAAGATGATGCTTTCCTTTGACTTAAAAGGGCCTTATTCATAGTAAAATTTTATTTTCATAGAAGATGAAAGGTACAGTCAATCTTCATAATAGTCTGATATCTTTTTTCATCAGTATTTTTCAAAATAGTACTTTTTTGTGGCTTTCTCTTTGTTTTGAGAATATTTTTGTTAATTTTTTTCCCATCAAATTTCAGGTTTCTCATAGACTTTATTGAAAAGGCTAGAAACAAATTTTCATGCTAGTAAATATGATAGTGCCTCTATGTATGCACACATAAAAAGAATATATAACATAAGCACACATACACATACATATATACATATATATGGCTATTAAAGCATACTAAGTATGGATATGTGTGTGTGATTATTTTAGAGGTGAAGGGATGTCTGAGTGTGTGAATCAATTTGTTGCACATATTTAAGAAAACACATTAAATCTGTTAGTGTACCATCAGGGAATGACTGAGCCATTGAGAAAATTGAATTCTGGTGCATTTTCTTTCTCAATTTTTATATCAGTTTCTGCTTCCCTGCATCCTTTAAGCTGTGTGGTAGTGCGATAAGGCTAAGTGGCACTTGTGTTAAATTCATGGGTACATGATTATTTGATGATACTCTTCGAATCATTGATGACTGTTTTCCACTTAAATAGTTCATTCTGTGATTGGCTGTGAATTTTGGTTCTGTGACTTTTTTTTTTAATTGTAGGTTTGGTCTTATTAACCTGTAGACATTTTTTATTTACTCTGGATAGTAATACTTTTATATATATAT